GATATATTCTATCTGATTATTTGTTTTCACTATAAATATGATTAGGCCGATTACGGATCATGGAATTTACTACTTATTATATGAATGTTTTATTGAGATGCTGATTTGGGTAAGATATTGGTGTATGGAGGTTCAACTATGATCAAGTTGGTAAATCATTATAGACCTAAAGTGACCATTTGTTAGGCTCCAAGGACCCAAAAACTTTCTTGGGTATGCTCTCATTCCCCAAGATGCTCACTTAGGTTGGCTCCTTATACCCAATGGGTATAAGGTAAGCCATATGGATGCAGTTATGGGGAACATCATATGGTATACAGGATGAGGGTAAACTACGAGTTTTAAAGCTTAAACTTTACTTGATTTTTATGATATTTTATTGAACTATTACTTGATTATTTCACCATTATGATTTATTTGCACTGTTGGGACACACTGAGCCCTAGCTCACTTTTCAAACTGTTTTACCCCTTTCAGATACTTTTGGATAGGCACCCGAATCAGGTACTTGGAGGATTGACACATTCTTTCATAACTTTTTGTTGTAATGTTTCTATCGAACTGCTTTCAATTACAATGACATATGCATTTATTTTGAAGTACTTATTTTATGACATTTAATATTTTTTCTACTGGTATTAGAATTACCTTGATATGTGATTATGACATGTTTTATTTTACTTAGTCATTTATAGTTTTATAGTTTCAAGTTTGGTTTTTATCTTTATCTATTTAATTTTTATAGATTTTAATTGTAATCTTATAAATTACCAAATAACGTTTTGGAAATCATTTTAAGAATTTTTAATGTAATCCGTTAGACCTAGTCGTAACGCATAGTCTGGGTCTAGGGGTTACATTTAATTGGTACCAGAGCTTTTGGTTTTTAAACCTCGGACTGTAAATGGGTCTCACATAAAATGTTACACCTTTTTTAAAACTTTTACAAAATTTTTGTAAGGTCATGTCACTCATTTTTTACAAGTTAAATGTGTCCAATACTCTAGTGCCAATATAACCCTAAGTTTGTAGTGAATTTGAGATCCTTCTCGATGAGTGCTAGACAAGGTCGTCGGCCTGGCCACGAGTGAGGCCGAGCTGCTAGGTTTACTAACCCCGTAAATGACTCTACTTTAGACCCGCCACCTATTCCTGAGATAGATATGATGACCCCTGATAAGGGAGCTCCTGACTCTAGTTTGAAGCCTACGAGAGTCGTACTAGATGAGACTCTCGACTGGTAATTTTTGCAGCTGATTTAGGGCGCGACTAGAGCTGTTGGTGTCGTCCATGAGGTCTTTATTACCCAAAACCTTATTGCTAATGGGGTCGAACATTTTGAGGTCTAATTGGAGGAGCTTCTTCTGAAGTAGAAGACTGGCTCCATGATATAGAAAGACGCATGGCTCAGTTAGGTTTGGATCCAAAAAAAAATATTTAGGAGTTATTACGATGTTAGATGGGAATGCCTACACCTGTTGGGAGTCATTGGTGAGTAGAGTTCCCACTAATCGTCTGACATTGGATTTCTCTAAATAGCGCTTCATGAAGCGATTTATGGGAGAGCATTATCTAGTTGAGAGGCGACAGCAGTTCCAGGACTTAATGCAGGGAGATATGTCAGTCTCTGAGTATGAGATGGAATTTTTAAAGTTGTTGAAGTATGGTGCTAGTCTAGTTCCCATCGAGATAGATAGATACCGCAAGTTTGCTCTCAAACTTATATATGAGCCACGTAGGCAGGTTGTGACCCATCAATATAAGATTTTTAATGTTCTAGTGAGTAGAGAGAATGATGCAGAGGAGGTGAAAGCTTTGGCTCCTGATAGAGATCGAATTGATCGAGAGCGACCTATGATGTCTTTCAGCCTGACTGAGTCTTCTACACTTCTTGGGAAGAGGACTCATACTTTGGTCCCTAGATGAGCAATACCGATTCCAAGCCTGCAGAATCTCTACTTCCAGTTGTTAGTCGAGGTGGTTCTTTGGGTATGCCTCAGGTACCAATTTGTGACTTTTGTGGAAATCGACACGGGGAAAGTGTATTAAAAAGATAGATATATGTTTCCATTGTGGATCTAATGGTCATTTTTGGAGGGGTTGTCAATAGTTAGCCTCATCAGAGCAGAAAGATACCCAGACTCCAGCACCCACTTCGGAAGTCCATGGTAGATAGTAGATCCCAATCCCAGCAGAGTAGAGGGCCAGTAGTATCAGAAGCCAGACAACCAGCTCTGGTGTATGCCGTTAGACGTTGGGATGACAGAGATGAGCCAGAGGTTATTGCATGTACATTTACTATTTTTTTGTTCCATATTTTGCATTACTAGACAATGGCTCCACCCACTTCTATGTATCGAGTTTTGTATCCCGTGACCTTCAGGTTTTGATTGAGGACACCGAGAGTGTTGGTACAGTTATAACTCCAGTAGGACAATCAGTGGTTGTGAATAAGGTATTACGGCGTTATCCTCTGGAGGTTGAAGGTGAAATTTTTCTCGCTGACCATATGAAACTTTCTTTAGAGGAGTTCAATTTAATTCTAGAGATAGATTGGTTGAATTAACAAAAGGTTAATTTGGATTGCAAGCACAAGAGAACTACTTTGAAGACTTTTGACTGTCGGACTGTTGTGTTAGTTGGTGAGAGTCGTGACTATCTCTCCAATATAGTATTGGCTTTGGTTGTCAATCAAATGATTCGAAAAGGATATGAGACTTTTATTTCCTGTATCTTGAACATGAAAGGCTCCTTGTCCAAGATTGAGGTTATTCGTACAGTTAGCGAGTTTCTTGATATCTTTCTAGAGGATTTCCCAAGGTTACCACCTGATAGAGTGGTAGAGCTCGAGATTGAGATTTATCTCGGATCTGTACCTGTTTCCATGAAACCCTATCAAATGGCTCTGAATGAACTTAAGGAGTTGAAAGTCCAATTACAAGAATTACTTGATCGAGGTTTCATCAGACATAGTACCTCACATTGGGGAGCTCTAGTCCTAGTCGTAAAAAAAGGATGGATCGCTTAGTTTATGCATCAATTACTAGAAATTGAACAATTTGTCGATTAAGAATAAGTACCAACTATCCAGGATTGATGACTTATTTGATTAATTATGAGGAACTACCTTATTTTTTAAGATCGATATTCACTCGGGTACTATCAGTTAAAATTTAAGTGTTCAAATATTACGAAGAGTACCATCCGCACTAGATATGGACATTATGAGTTCTTGGTGATGCTTTTTGGTATGAAGAATGCTACCGCAACTTTTATGGACTTGATGAATCGTGTTTTCCAGCCATATTTAGATCATTTTGTTGTAGTTTTCATTTATGATATTATGGCATATTTAAGAACCGAGGCAAAGCATGATTAGCATCTGAAGATCGTTCTATAGACCCTGAGAGAGCATCATCGTGTATGCTAAGCTGAGAAAGTGTGAATTTTAGCTTCGCGAGGTGTCATTTATTGGGTATATTGTTTCTGTGAAAGGTATCCAGGTCGATCCAAGCAAGATTGAGGCCATTGTGAGTTGGAAGTGACCCAAGAATGTCTCCAAGATTTGTAGTTTATTTGGTTTAGTCAGGTATTATTGATGTTTTACCGAGGGCTTCTAGATCATTATTGCTAATTTGTTGAAATTGTTGAGGAAGAATGTTCCGTTTGGCTGGGTGATGCACAATAGGAGGGCTTTGAAAAATTGAAGGCAGTTTTAACTCAAGATCTAATTTTGACTCAACGTGAGCCCGTGAAGGATTTTACGGTATATAGGACGCTTCGCACTGCGTACTTAGTTGTATTCTAATGTAGGAGGGCAGAGTAGTCACTTATGTGTTCTCATCAACTGAGGACGCCGTATGAGTGTATTTACCTAACCCATGATTTGGAGTTAGCAGCAGTGATATTTTCTTTAAAGATCTGGAGACACTATCTATATGGAGAGAAGTGTTACAATTTTATGGATCATAAGATTTTGAAGTATATTTTGACCCAAAAAGAACTTAATCTGATACAGTATCGTTGACTTGATCTTCTGAAGGACTGTGATTGCGTGATTGATTATCACCCAAGATAAAGTTGTTGCGAATGCTTTGAGCGGAAGGTTATAACTGATTTGAGGTCCTTAATGGCTAGGATGAAGTTTTATGACAATGTTATTTTATTAGTAGAATTCCAGGTCTAGCCGACCTTGGCCTAGAAGATCAAGGCCAAGCAACCTCTTGATAGTTTCTTGCTCCCCATCATTGACCAAGTGGAGCAGAGAACGACCTCAAATTATAGTTTTTACCAGGATGAAGTATTATGTTTTGAAGGTCGATATTGTGTTCCTGATGATGTAGATTTGAGATAGGCTATCCTCAATGAGGCTCATAATAGTCCATATGATATGCACCCTGGTAGAGATAAAATGTACCAGAATCTGAGAGATAAGTACCATTGGATTGGCATGAAGAATGAAATATATGATCTTGTGGCTAGATGTTTGACTTGTCAACAAGTTAAGGTAGAGCACCAATATCTGTCGGGTCTGTTACAGCCTATCAAGATTCATGAGTGGAAATGAGAGCAAATTACTATGGATTCTATTAATGGGTTGCCTTTGACCCATTCGAAAGAGGATTCTATCTAGGTGATTGTTCATAAACTTACAAAGTCAGCTCACTTCATTCTTGTGCGGGTAAATTATTCATTGGACAAGTTGGTAGATTGTATATATCTCAGAAATCATCAGATTGCATGGTGTTCCGCTATCTATCATTTCAAATCGAGATCCGAGATTTACTTTTAGATTCTGGGAAGAACATTATAAGGCTTTGGGTACTAAACTAAATTTTATTACAAGTTTCCACCCTCAGACTGATGGTCAATCTGAATGAGTGATTTAGGTCCTTGAGGATATGTTACGGGACTACATGATTGATTTTCATGGTGGTTGGGAGAACTTTTTGCCTTTGGTTGAGTTTACTTACAATGACAGCTACCAGGCCAGTATTTCTATGGCACCTTACGAAGCACTTTATGGGCATAGATGTCGCACCCCAATTTGTTGGACTGAATTACGTGACAGAAAGACTTTGGGACCTGAGTTAGTGCGTGAAACTGAAAACATCATCATATTGATCCGTGACCGGCTGAAAAAGGCATTTGATAGGCAAAATTGTTATGCCGACAAAAGAAGAAAAGACATCGAGTTCGAGGTTGGAGATCAAGCCTTTTTGAAAGTATTCACATGGAAGAAAGTGTTAAGATTTAGGCGCAAAGGTAAATTGAGTCATAGATTTATTTGACAATATCGTATCTTGAATAGTGTAGGACCAGTTCGAGTTCCTCCCCAGCTCAGACGTATTCATGATGTCTTTCTTGTGCCTATGTTGAGCGCTATCATCCAGACCCAAGCTACATCATTCAGTTAGAAGATGTTGAGTTGAGGCTAGATCTATCCAATGAGGAGAAGCTTGTGCAAATCTTGGATCGAGATGAGAGAGTGTTGAGGAACAAGTGTATTCCGATGGTAAATGTTTAGTGGAGTGACCATGGTCATGTAGATATCACCTAGGAGACAGAAGAATCCATAAAGACTCAGTTTTTGCATATGTTTAATTCATGTAAATTTCAAGGGTGAAATTTCGTTTGAGGGGAGAATTGTAATAACCCCTTTAAAAAAATTAGAAATTTAAATTAATTTAATTAAATTTGGTGACCAAAATTCAAGTCTCTAGAATTTGTAGGTCGTTTTAGAAGTTGAAGGAAATTTAGGGACTTGAACCTGAATTATCCTATTTTATGTCATCATAAAAAAATAAAGAAAATCGCTTAGGTGGCTGGGGGATTCAAACACCTGACCACCGGTATGCTTAGCCATACCCTAGCCATTTAAGTTAGGGTATTGTTCGAGATATTTTAAATCAATATATAATATATTGGATTAAAATCGGTTACCACAAAAATCGCCAAATCAGAAACCTAAAATCCCTAAACCTTAAATTATTTCTAACCAACCCTCTTCACCTTAACAATTCATCACCGTCCGATTGCACTAGCTCACGCCACACCTGCCGTTAGGCTCACCGTCGACCAGCGAAAAAATCCCCCCAAACCCCTCATCCAAAATCGATGTCCTTCATCATAAAGCTTGCTGTGAAGCTTCAATGAAAATAACCCCCATCACTGGATTTTCTTCGATTTCAGTCAATCCGAAGACTGTGCAATCTCATCGCCCTTCCAATCAGTGTTGTTGGCATCGTATGAACAAAACCAGATCATTTTCACTCCTCACCGACGTACCGTCATTGTTTTCCCCGTGAAGATAAGATGTCGATTTTTTTTTTTTGCAATTTTAGTTATATTTCAGATTGTTGAAAGTTATATTGGTAAATTGGAATGTGTAAAAGATAGGGGAGTACTCGACTGGTGGAAATGAACCCCGTCGCCACCGCACACACCACCACGCATCGGCAGTGTGCATGGGGCTCTCTAACCATCTAGGAGGCTCCTAGAACCAGTCCAGCCACACTAAAATGGTTCGTTTAAACTGGTCTAAATCGAGTCCACTCACCTAAGTCAACCCGGACTGAGTCAACTCGTTCGAGCCAACTCGTCTGAGTCAACACGTTGACTTTGACCAAATTAGTCAAAATTTTTGAAAAGTCATATTTTATGTTTTTTGACGACGTGAGTCTGGATCTGAAGTCTGTTTTGCCAAATTCAAACCTGAAAGCCTCCAAATTGACCGTCAAACTCGAATATAATTTTGTACTTAAGCATTTTATTTGAGGATAATTAAATTAAGGTTAGAGACTAATCATATATTGTTGTTTGAAGGTACAAGAGACTCTCTCGATCGCTCGACAGGTCGACCCAGCTCCTCTCGATCAGTTAGACCTCGTGAGCCAATAGTCATTCGTATGATCCGTAAATCTTATGATTTCATAGATTAATTATGTTACTCCGCTAGTAACCCAGTTTGACTATAAATTAGGTTCGAGCACTACTACAAAGCGTGGCGAGGCTGGTGCTCAGTAGATTGGTTGTTTGATTCCATTTTCCAAAGTATGTTCAGTGAGTGCTACATGACTATTTTACCTACTTCGAAATATGTTTCACCAAAATTATGATTTACTGATTTACTGGTTGATAGCTCAATGATATATGTTATATGATTATTTTTTTACTAAAAATATGATTATGTCATTTACGGATCATGGAATTTACTACTTATTATATTAATTGTTTTATTGAGATATTGATTTGGGTATGATACTAGAGTATTGAGGTTCAGATCTTATCAAGCTGATAAATCCTTATAGACCTAAGGTAACCCTTAGGTAGGCTCCAAGGCCCCGAGAACTTTCTTGGGTAAGCTCTCAGGCTCCAAGATGCTCCCTTAGGTTAGCTCCTTATACCCAATGGGTATAAGGTAAGCCTATGGATGCAGTTCTGGGGAACTGCATATGGTGTATAGGAGGAGGGTAAACTACATGTTTTAAAGCTTAAACTTCACTGTGATTTTTATGATATTTTATTGAACTATTACTTGATTATTTCACCACAATGATTTATTTGCATTGTTGGGACACATTGAGCCCTAACTCACTTTTTAAATTGTTTAACCCCTTTCAGATACTTTTGGATAGCACCCCGAATCAGGCACTTAAAAGATCGAAACATTCTTGCAGAACTTTTTGTTGTAATGTATCTATCTTTCGAACTGCTTTTAATTGCAGTGACATGTGCCTTTACTTTGAATTACTTATTTTATGACATTTACTACTATTGTTATTGGTATTAGAATTACCTCGATATGCAATTATAAAATGTTTTATTTTACTTAGTCATTTATAGTTCTATAATTACAAGTTTGGTTTTTATCGTTATATATTTTATTTTTATATATTTTAATTGTAATATTATAAATTACCTAATAACATTTTGGAAAATATTTTAAGAATTTTTAATGTAATCCGTTAAACATAGTTGTAGTGCATAGGTTGGGTTTAGGCAGTTACATTCGGGTTCGTATTTGGTAAAATGGACTTCAAATCTAGACTCATGGCGTCAAAAACATAAAATATGACTTTTTGAAAAATTTTATTTTTTGGTTAAAGTCAATGGTCAACGATCAAAGTCAATGGTCAACTCTAGTCAAAGTCAATGGTCATGTCGATGGTTAGTTAAAGTTAACGAGTGGACTCTGTCCGAGTTGACTCAACTTAACCTATTCGGGTTGACTCACAGATTGATTCAAACAAGTTCGAGTCGGTCCAGACCTACTAGATCGATCTAGAAGGTATTCTGGGTGATGGCTCCTGACTGTGCATGGAGGCGGCGATGGGGGCGTGTGGTAGTGAAGATGGGGGTGGGTCAGTCTGCCAAGCACTCTATCAGCTTCAACAAACCAAGATAAATCAACAACAACCCAAATTTCAACCTATAACAACTTAAATCAACCTAAAATAACATTCAAAAACTTACCCAACTGGCAATCGATGATGGAGCAACGATGGCCGACAGTCTCGGTCGGGTTTCGAGCACACGATGACGAGGAAGCTAATGGCGTAGGCGGTGAGGCGATGGGATGACCGTTGTGGCCAAAAAAAGAAATTAACTGAGGCGACGAGGTTACAGCGGGTTCTCCTAATTCGTGACGGATGATGACTGAATTGGGGTTGCTAACGATTAGGTTGAGTTCGCCAAAGGATGTTGGTTCTAATGATGGCGGCGAGGCACAAAATCGACGACCTGAGCGGGCGAATTGTGGTGGAGATGTTTCAACACTAGGGATTTTTGGGGATTTTTATGAAAAAATGGGTGTTTGGAAACAAATGGGTTAACACCCAATATGTAATATATAAAAAGAAAATTTTAATACCTCCAATCAGCGATAGTGGCTTAGCCCGGTTAGTAGGGACATGGCCGACCACTCCATGGGTTAGGAGTTCAAACCCCCCAACCACCCCTTATTTAATTTTGTTGTGTCAGGTAGGTTATGGGAAAACTGTGGGACTGGTCCCTGAACTCTCTATATATTCAAAATTAACTGAGAAAGCTTTAAAATTATTCATTTTGGCCCCTTAATAGAGTAAAATAAATTAATTGTAGTTTATATATTTATTGGGGTTTGACACAAAAAGATTTGGTACATAAAACTTAATCATAGAAAAGGTTATGTTGAACCATGACTTCTTGTAACTTAGGTAACAATGATCCATTGCTAGATGTCACTCATTTTTTGTAATATTATAATCATTATATATATAACTGCTAATATTACAAGAACATACAAGGGTCGCACCCTATGATTGAAACGAACAATTAAAAACTGAATTACATATTGTTGAAAACATTTTGATATTTCGATATAACAAATTAAGTTAAATGAATTTTAAGATTTTCCAAATGATTTTCTAAGTATATTCGATATAACTATTCGAATATCAAAATATTACTCCAAATCTTTCAAAAATCATTTTTAATCCTTACTCAAGTGTAAAATTAAGTTTTAATCTTAAAACAATTTCAAAATAATCTTACAAAGTATTTCGAACCATTTCAAAGCCAAAAATTCCAGATTGCTCAAAGGGAACCGATTCCCCCCAAGGGGGTACCGATTCCCCCCTGAATGGTTTGGCTCCGAGAATTCCAGTATGCTCGGAGGGAATCGATTCCCCCCAGGGGTACCGATTCCCCCCTTGTATAACGGTCGAAATATTTGAATTTTACACTTAGGGAACCGATTCCCCATAGGGGGTACCGATTCCCCCCACTCTCTAAGTTGTTTTATTAATTTTTTTCACACTAAAACGGCTATATTATCTTCTCTAATCATCCCCAACGTTCAGAACTGATTCAATGTGTATTTAAGCAAGCTTAGAAGCCATTGATCAAGAATAAGAAACATCAAGCAACTTCAATATCATTCGAGAAATCGTTGATCGAGGAGATGTGGAAATATATAGAGTACACACGGATAATAACAATGGTTATCCAATGATCAAGCCTCTAACACAACAAAAGCATGAGCTTCACACTAAGTCACTTGATATTAAATACATAAGTGATTCTGTAACACCCAAAATTTTCCACAAATTAAAAACCCTAGGAATTTGAGAGTTTTCTTTTGAATCCCTAAAATTTTATTTTAAAAATGAAATTGAATTTTTAGAAATTGTAATGACCATCTTGTATAAGAAGCAAACTTTTTTGTCATTTTTAAAAACCTAATGAATTAAGGGACTGATCTTGAAATTAACCCATTTTTTGACACAATCCCACTACTTCTTTATTTCACCCGTGTGGCGCCTCCATCTTTACTTTTTTTCTTTTCTGCTTCGTTCCCACGCTCACCGCTGCTGCCCATCTCCGTTCCTCTTGTTGCAGTCACCTTTTCGTCAAGGTAAGGTCATCGGTCACCCCCCCAAGAGTTACATAATGTCACCCTAACCCCTCCTTCGTTGTTGGGTGATGTTGGGTTGAAGGAACCGCGAGTTTGGATCGTATCTGTCGCCATTGTTGATCGATTCAGCCGTTGGTGGCCATTGTGAGGTCGGATTCTTGTCGTGGAGGACCTAATTGTTTTGGTTCGTGGTTGATAGTCCCCTTTGTTCGAACCATCAGACTTGAATCGAGTCAAAACCCCCGCTATTCGGTCTCTGATTCAAATCTGAAATTATTTTAGTGTCGTATTAATCTTTTTTAATCTGAAAATTGGTGTATTGGGATATTAATTAGATGTCGTAATTTTTGGCAGGAGATATCGAACCTAAATAGGACTTATTGCCACTTTCGCCTTTATCCATTGATTTTGAACCAACTCGAATTACGAGAACTGATCGTGAGTTTTAGTGAAAGTAGTAATTTGATTTGGTTTCGTTAACGATAGTATAGTAATTACTGTTAATTATTTTGTAGGAACCGATTTTGTTCGATTGTGGGAATGATACGTTCGACGTTAGAGTTGTTTTGCTAAGGAGTGTCTCTGTCCAGTATGAAATTTAATTATGTGATTGTTTTCTTGATGATATGCATTGTTGATTTGTGAATTTGAATGTTTTGTGACATCGGTTGAAACTAATGTAACTCGAAAAAATGTCATGAAATTATGTTGATATGATAGATTCAAATATATGTTATGCATTCGAAATATTTTATTATGTTAGTTATCAACTTCGAACTTTATGTTATGCATTTGGACTATGTGATTATGTAAATAATTTTACATTCGATCGGAATATATTTCGATGCCATGACACATTGGGATGGGATTCATAAAGGAAGTTCAGGGTGTTCGACAAGGTGAATTTCACTTTGGATTCAATGGTCTCTATCTTTGTGGTGGATCCCACTTCGAATGGTGTTAGTCGTTAGAGCGGTTCTGGGAACCTACTCTTCGGATGGTTGATGCTATTGATATTACTATAGCATATTACTATAGAGAACTAAGAGTGTACAAAAGAGTTTTATCAAAGAGTAATATAAATATGATTGAAGGAGTGAAGAA